TCCCACAGAATGACTTGATCCATGGTTGGGGTCTGGATATGCAGCTTGGTTATTGTGCACAGGTAAATTCCTCACTAGAGTTAACTATTCTATTTTCTCGGAGTCACTCATAAACATCACTTATCACAGGGCGATCGAACAATTAAAGTTGGTGTGGTCGATGCAGAGTATATAGTTCATATGGCTCTTCCCACACTTGTTGGACCTTCAGATGCGAAACCTTCAAAATCAAATAATCCGTCTTCACAAACATCGGTACGATTTCCAGATCAAGATCATTTCTTATCGACACACATGATGTATAAACCCGAAGTTAAATTTTTTGTTTCGATTTGTAGGGAGCTTCAGGTCTGAACAAATTGGACGCCAGATTTGAGGTAAGTTGATAAAAATAAGGGATATTGTAAGTCCACTTTACCAAACACGTCATTAGTTCTTCCCCGTAGCTTTGCTTAGTTACTAGTGTATATGCAGATACGAAAACGATCCTACAATGAGATGAACGTTTTCAAGAATAGATGGAATATGGCCGTTGCAGAGGATGAATGTTGGATCGATCCATTTCAACAACCAGCTGATCAGATAATGCATTAGCCTACGTGTTTTTCCAAGACCTTGTCGAGTAATCAAGGTGCTGAGATCGCAAAACTTGTATAGATGCCGATACCCATACAACTTTCCAAGAATTCTTTCCATGTATAAAGCACTCAAATACTGAAATACAACGGAGAGACGAAGAGGAAGTATAGGATCTTTCTTGCATTGATCTTGTTATTTTTTTGAAAGTATAGGAATCAATATTCCTCTGCTGATTGAATTGGATATTCAACTTTTCTAAATGTAACTAATATTTTTAATAAAGAACCTTCGTTTTTGTGGTTCAACATGGAACAACACTCTTGTATGCAATTTCTAGTCTTATGATTTTGATACTACGCATTGGCTGCTAGAGAAAGATGTCTCAAAGTGTTTATGTGTAATTGCCTTATTGTAGCCAATCATAAATTTGATATAAGTTAACATCGCTTACGGTACACGAAAGTATGATGACTTTGAAGATGGACGAAAGTATCGAATTATATTCCACATCGCTTACGGTACACGAAGAGCAATGTGGTGGGACGGTCATTATCATTCCCATCTCGTTGGAAATTTTCGGGAGGTGGGACTAATATTAAAACTCCCCGTTAACCTCCCCGTTTAATTATTTATTTTTTAAATATGATTTAAATTTAAAATATAAAAATATAATTAAATAAATAAAAAAGTAGAACAAATTCAAGAAGAGACTATACTTCACGTCCTCGCCCCATTTACTATTTGAAGAGGGGATTCTATGCTCCATTCAATATACGGCAATGCGGGGTGGTTTGGGAATGGGAATTTTACTATCATGCCTACTAGTGTAAAATAAAGAGTTTTTTGAAACGTATTTTGAAGCATCGATTTTTCAAAATAGAAAGTGTTTTGTGTCTAAATAATTCTTTTGAAGATGTTATAAGATTGGCCCCGTAGCTTAACGAGCCCACCCGAATTTGGTAACAAAAAAAATAAAAATTAATTAATTAGTAATAATAAAATGAAATTTTAACCATTTATTTTTCACTTCTTCCCTCTCAGAAGTAGGGTTCTAATCTATATGTACACGTATCGTGTCAGTGTGTATCTATATCACCATGACTCTCTATCCCTTCCTCCTCCGTTCCATCCGCCGATACTCCACCTCCAATTCTCTCCAAACACCCATTTTGAAAATCACCTCCACCGCCGCCACCTAGTCCCTTTACCCTAACTTTGATTCACACCACACAACCACTAATGCCTTTCAACCTCCCACCACTAAATTTACCGATGCCACCGTTACTCTCAGTCACAACATCCCTCTTACTGCTCCATACATCCCATATTGCTCATATGGCTTCTCCTCCGCCGAGGGTCGCGGCTGAACGATGACGTCAACAATCTTCCCATCGAGCCCCCTCTCTACGCCCTCCACCCTAATCCCACTTCACACTCATCTGACATCAACAACCCTGACAAGCTTCGCTTGTCGGACTCCATCTCTACAATCCCATCATCGCTGCCATGTACCTTGCCAAGCGCTACCATGAAGCCAAAGCCCTCTTTCAGTACTTATTCAACCAGTTCAATATCATCCCCAATATTGTTTCCTACAATAATCTTATTGTCTCTGTTAAAATCTTGGTGTGATCCGAATTTCTTATTTGAAGCATTGAAGATTTCTAATTAAAGTATACGTCAAGGAGAATTCAAGTTTGAAATGCTACTGGAGTCCTATGTCAAGTTGAAATTCTATTTTGGAAGCCCATTGAGAATTGAAAATTGGTATTGGACTTGAAGAAGAGTTCAAGATGGAGAAAACAATTTGAAAAAAATAATAATAAAATACATTTTTTTCAAAACGTCTGGCATGGGTGGCATGGTACCGGTCCCGACACCCACCTGACCTGTTTCGAGTTTTCTGCGTTTTTCTCACATTTTTCGTTTTGAACTCGATGTTTGACATCATACTTCATCAACAACTCTACTAAAAGAGTTTGGACGTCTCCTACATGTTCCCTATAAATATTAGGCTCTTCTATATAATTTCAAAGTGTGAGAAAATAGATTACTATAATTAGAGGATCCATTGTAATTTCTCTCTTCTCCATTATTTTTGAGTCAATAAAACCTCTTAATTCGTTTGTCATATTTCTTATCTTTATTATTCCTTTACTTGATCTAATACTTCATTATTTACCATATAACTAACAATTCATTCCAATAGTTAGTTTCATCAAGTGGTATTCTAAGAATACATAATTCTTGTATTTTCAATATTGCTAACAACGATCTGGGCATATTAATATTTCTTCTAACAAGAGATAATTTGGTTGTTTCATAACAAGTGGTGTCAGAGCCTAGGTTCAGTAGTTCCACAAGAGCACATGGTTTGATTTGTTCGAAGTTTTTGTTCGTAATGACTACAATGAAGTATGACATTCCATTTTTAGATTGGAGCACTAGATTTTCGCAATAGTAAGTTAAGATGCGTGCAGTACACGCACAGCTGGATTTGGATGATTCTTTGTTGGGAATTAACAAGATGTCCGTAACTTTGACCGCGAATGAGAAATTACGGAAGGATAAGAAGACAGTTTCTCACATTCATCTTCATCTATCGAATACTATTCTTCAGGAGGTTTTGAAGGAGGTTTAAGCAGCTGTTCTATGCTTGAAGTTAGAGCAATTGTGCATAACTAAAAGTCTGGCAAGCAAGTTGAACCTCAAGCAACGTTTATACTCTCATCGAATGGTGGAAAGAAGATCATTGGAAGATCACATGTCTGTATTTAAAGAGATCGTCGCTTATTTGAAAATTTTGGAAGTAGAGTATGATGAAGAATATTTGGCCTTGATCCTATTGTGTTCGTTGCCCGCTTCGTTTTCTTTATTTAGAAACATGATCTTGTATAATCGTGATACTCTCACCATAGAGAAGGTGTATGATGCTTTGTATTCAAAAAAGAAGATGAAGTATCTGGTTTCTGAGGCCAGAGATGGAGAAGGTCTGATTGCTTACGATGGTTCTGAAAGGGGCAGATCGAAGTCTAAGTTCAGTAATCAAATTTGTAACTATTGCAAAAAGAAGGAACACGTGAAGAAAGATTGTTACAAATTGTAAAATAAAGAAAGATTGGCGGCAAGTCAATATAGGAAGCGAATAGATACTTCAGGCGAGGAAGATCTCGTGGAGAACATTGATGGAGATTTTTTAACTATTTCTGACGTCGAGTCTAAACTAGAGGAGGATTGGATTCTTGACTCAGCATGTGTGTTTCATATGTGTCATAATAAGAACTTGTTTATTACATATGAAACTGTTTTCAAAGGTGTCGTAGTTATGAAAAACAACATACCTTGTCGGGTTGCGGAAATGGTACTGTCAGATTAAAACTTTTGGATGGAACAATTAGAACACTTGGCCAGGTTTAACATATTTTGAATTTGAAGAAGAATATCATCTTATTGTCTATCCTTGATTCAAAATGTTATGAGTTCATTAGTGGAGGTAGAGCTTTGAAGATTTGTAAGAGTGCTCAAGTTGTATTAGAGAGACAGAAAATATCTCACTATACATCTTGCAGGGTTGTGTAAAATCTAGAAGAGTCAATCAGCACATGTACAGTACTGTGGTGGACATTCAATTTGATACAATACTTTTAGAAGTTCGTATATGGTCGGATTTGAAGAATATTGTTCAGTGGAGTTCAGGAGATATGGAAAATGCCTCTTTCTCACCATCACATGCGGTGCAATTGTTTTTCAATTGCTAGGGACGGACCGGTGGAAAAAGGATATGTGGATGCTTGTTGAGAACGCTTTAAGTAGACTAGAAAGTGTTCAATCTAACAAGGGGCTTTCAGTAAAAGTATTTGTATTGATTCTGCTTTGGGGTATGTTACAGCTCATTTTGGTAAATTATAAAATCGTTATGAATTTTGGGAATCTGAGATAATTCTATAAGAGTAATGTTTGGATTCATTGGAATATGTATTATGTTTTGTTGGAGAAATTAATTTTTTGGTTATTGTTGAAAAAGCCGTACATTCCTTGGTGTAATTCGTGTCGATGCCGGGATTGTTACAATTTCGGGTGTAACCCGAATTTCTTATTTGAAGTATTGGAGAATTCTAATTGAAGTGCACATTAAGAAGAATTCAAGTTTAGAATTTCAAATTGAAGTTCTATTTTGAAACCCATTGAGAGTTGAAAATTGTTATTGGACTTCAAGAAAAGTTTGAAATGGAGAAAACAATTTGAAAAAATAAATAAATAATTTTTTTTTCAGACTGCTCGGTTGTGCAATGCCGGGCATGGGCGCCGCGGTTCCGGTCCTGGTCCCGGCGCCCACCTGACCTGTTTCGCATTTTTCTCTCCTTTTTCGTTTTGAACTCGATTTTTTGGCATTCTACTTCATCAACAACTCTACTAAAAGACTTTGGACTTCCCCTACATGTTCCCTATAAATATTAGACTCTTCCATACAATTTCAAAGTATGAGAAAATAGATTACTAGAATTATAGAATTCATTGTAATTTTTCTCTCTTTTTCATTATTTTTGAGTCAATAAAATCTCTCAATTCTTTTGCCATATTTCGTGTCTTTATTATTCTTTTGCTTGATCTAATATTTTATTATTTGTCAAATAATTTCAACAATTCATTCTTGTGATTGGTTTCATCAAGGTTTACGGTCACATTCTCGAGAACGCTCCCTATAGCCCTTCAGCAGTCACTTATCGCCATTTCACAAAGCGTCTTATTGATGTTGGAAGAATTGATGATGCAGTGAATTTGCTAAAAGAAATGTTGACGAAGGGTCACGGTGCAGATTCTTTGGTAGGTTTTTGAATTTGGGGAATTTGGGAAAGGCAAATGAGTTGAAGGAACGTTGCACGGTTTATGATGGGGTTGTGAATGCGACCTTCATGGATTGGTTTTTCAATCAAGGTAAGCCGGAGGAGGCAATGGAATCCTACAGGGATTTGATGGATAGGAATTATAGGATGGTGCCTGCAACTCGGAATGTGCTTCTAGAGACATTGTTGAAACGTGATAGAAAGAAAGAAGCTTGGGATTTATTCCACGACATGTTGGATGATCACACACCACCCACATTCCAGGCTGTGAATTCAGACACTTTCAATATGATGGTTCACGAGTGCTTTAAGGAAGGGAAGCTCACAGAGGCCATCGATTTGTTCAAGAGAGCTGGGAAGGCTGAGAAATCGAAGCCCTTCTGGATGGATGTGGCTGTATATAATAGTATGATTACGAGGTTATGTGAACTTGAGGTGATGGAGGAAGCAGAGCAGTATTATCAGGCTTTGTGCAATAAATCACTAGCTCCAGATGTGAATACTTACAAGACTCTGATTGATGCATATATTAAAGTGGACAATATTGAGAATATGTTGGATAAGTATTCAAAAATGGTTGAGGCTGGTTTGAGGGTTATTCCAGCTTATGCAAATAAGTGGTTCCTTTTCATGATTGAGAAGGATAAGGTTCTTGTCTGTGTTTCAATCTTGTCTAAAATGAGTGATGAAGAACCAAGACCTGATGTTCCTGTTGGAAAATTATTTAATTTGTCATGTGGGTCGACATATGTAATTAATTGTGTATAAAGCTATTTTAAAGTTAAACCCAAAATTAAAGTGATCTAATAAAGAATTAAGTAATTGGGCTTTGGACATCTAAACAAAGTGTGGGCCGAATTATATGTGTGGCTATGTAACGGAATTTCTTGTTTTTAACGAAAAAACTAACGGAATTTGTTGTTTTAACGGACTATGTAACGGAATTTCTTGTTTTAAACAAGCAGCTGCACCTTCTTTCACTATTTTTATCATAATTTTGTATTC